CCGCCAAAACTTGGTCACAATTAGGATGAAAATATAGTAAGTAATTGGGTTATAACTTCCGCTGCTCATTGAACATGTTTCACTGCACAATATATCTTCACTTAAGTTTTCCTCACTAATGTTGTGTTAAATTATACCACCTTTTGAAGTGTTCATGAGCAGAGAAAATCTTTCAGATACACAATTCTGTGACTTTCCTTCATCTTCTGGTTTTATTTGTAAACATCACGTGACGTATTGTTTTTATTCATTTCCCGACTGGAAAGTGGAATTAATCCAAATGTTAAAAAATTTAGTTATCTACCGTTATCTAGGAAAATGCAGGTTGTCTTGAACAATCTCGTCCATAATTTAAAGCTCAAAACGTCTAGAGTTTGTGAGTCATATTGCGTCACCACGTTGCCCTGCGAAAATATACAACGGCTACGGAGAAAATGAACGACAGACTTTGTTTAGTACAGGATAAGTGTAGCATATTAAATTTATCAAACAGGCTTCAAAACGCATGCGCGGTATTCATGCAATGTTGTATTTGAAACCTGAAATTCTAAATTGCTTATTACTTCGACTTCTTCTGCATTTTTCAAATAATGAATAATTATGAATGAATGTGTAACTTTTTAAATCAGTTGTTGATGTTTATGAATGCATGTCAACGCAGTCAGTTATACTGCATTCTTTCTAATTCTAGTCGTGGTTGAAATCCAGTCGTGACTAGTTGTTGTTCGTATACTGTTTACAACTAAATTAAGTGTAAATCTTATTTAACTATTCAAGCAACTGGGACGTTCATTAACAGCTGTCTTCGCTCAATACTCAAGATCAGATGGCCGACCAGAAAAGATCAGCAACAGAGATCTCAGGGAGCGAACCAACCACAAACCGATTGTGAAAAAAATATGCAGGAAGAAATGGAGATGGATTGACCATACTCTGAGGAAACCATCAAGTGACATCACTAGACAAACCATTGCTCGAGTGGAACCCGAAAGAGAATCGGCGAGTTGATCGTCAGTGCAAGGGTGACTTGGAGGAGGTCATGTGAAGAGGAGATGAAAACGTGTGGGCAGACTTGGAGCCAGGTGAAGAATCTAGCTGAGAATGCAATGTTCCTCTAGGAATGAAAGGAAACAATAATATAATAATAATAATAATTCAAGCAACTATAAAGATTCATGCTATTTAGTTTTAGAAAATGTATGCTGATTATAAGATTCTTTTGAAAATTCTTGTGTTTAAGAAAGCACTTGGGTATCTTTCGAGGAATAAAATATTGAGAATCTGACGAGGATTTAAACCTTTAGGCTTCCCAGCTACCATATTTTCACAGCCAAGAAAGGCTAGGCAATCCAGATTTTCCAGTGAGAACCATGTTGTCAGCTAAGAATTCCTCGCTCTACAAATTTTCTCGCTGGTTGGCCAAAAATATGGTGTCTCTTCGATAACAGCTGGCTAAACATACTCTGAAGAACTCATTTCATTCCAATGAAAAGATGATTCACCTTGTGTGCAATAAATTTACTGTCTGTTTTCACATTCATAAAGTTCCGCATTCATGTAGCTTTCAACATCGTCTGTCAACACGCTGATCCACTACCTCTTAAAAAAATGTGAATTCAAGCAAATTCCCATATTACGCACCAAGAGTACCCTATTTCATTTCAACAACGAATATATTCCCAAAATGACTGATTAAAATCCGATGGTTCATTGTGTCCTGTATTAGCAGACTTTTTATGGCTAGTCTTGAACAGACAAGGTTTTAATTTGTAATTGATGAAACAGCAGCCTATTGTAGAAAAGAAGATGGCATATTCTCTGTGTGCACTGATCTGTAACATGCATCGCAATATGCTTGTGCTGTTGAGCAAAGCGCAAGAAAGCATCATTTTCACAACAGAACACTGAAATAATGTCAGGTACGAATTCTGTAATATCTTTCAGGAGAAAGGAATAGTTTGGACACTTTGAATCGCTACTTATTACAAAGATACATGGATTGATTTCTACATGGGGTCTCTTCAGCTACAAAAAATCATTGGTGAAGACATTGCACTGTAGTTTAAAAAAAGAAAATGTTCAGCAAACAAATTAGACAGTGAACTTATGTAATTTGAAAATACTGGATACAAAATTCCTGTTAAGTCATTTCTGATCTCTTCTTTATCACCTTCCCATTTTTATTCAATCCTAAACTACTTTTAAATATATCACATTCGCATGGTTAAACTGTACTTATCGTACATTTCTGTCAATGCTCCACACTCTTCTGAACATTGTTTATTGGAATCTGGCTGTAATCTACCTGTATATTTACGCGCTGTTTATATCCCTACTTCTCTATATTTCCATTTAACACAGCTTGCAAAGTTTTCTTCATTTACTTGGAGTGATAGCTAATTTGATACCATCAAGCCTAGACACCTGATAATTTGAGGTTTCTATATTCTATGATTATATTTACGTGTATTTTAGTGCAGTACTTTACAAAATCCCATCTTTTGCATTTTACATATAACTCAGATGTATTGTTCAATTAAATGAAAATTTAATTACAAAATATTGTTCTGAATTTCTTAGAAGTAGTATACGATGGTTACTCACAAAGTTTTACCAACAAATATGGTAAGAAGAAGTGTAAGTAGCCAAACATTACTAGTTACCAAACTAAATATTTTATTCTTATTTGAGTAGACCATTGCTTATGCTATCATGAGAGAGATAATTAGACCTTAAGGTAAAACACTCACCGTCCAGGACGTATCCTGATTTCTCTGCTCTGTACATTCTGCTTATTTCCACGAACAAAAATCGACAAGCAGCACGGATATGTTATCTGCAGCTGTGCATATCGTTCACGCACTTTTCTGGCAGCAGTTACATCAGGAGTATAAAAAGTAGGACCTGCGATAAATTTTTTGAATGTGTACCGAGGAGCCCTCGAATAGTTTGAACTCGTCAGTCAACAAACTTTTGATAGAAAATGAACTCCATGGTGACGCGTAGGGATATGACCAAAACAATAAGCAGAAAAACGGCCCGTTTTTATATGTATGACGAGGTTAAAAACTGACCCATGAGTCCAAAAGAAATCCCTCCTAAAAATTCAGTCACCCTGGTAGCTTCCTTTCCGGTCACTCTTTGTCCTCGGATTACATACTTTGCTTTCACCTCATTTCAAAATCTTTCCATTCTTCTCACGGTATTGCATTATCATATTTTTGTCATACTTCCTACACATCAAATTTTGATTCTTCCATTTTATGAATACTACTCACTGCATTTTGAATATGTTCTGATGCGGAAATGTTACTGACTTATCAGGTTCTACGCAGCTGAATAGGACCGCAGAGTGAGAATGTATCCGTACCATTCTGCACCTATATTTAATTTTCCTTATCCAAATTTAAAAAAAGGGAAATTCATGTACGAAGAACAAAAAGTTATTTATAATTGCCTATAGCTCTACCTGAAGAGATGCAAGGGGAGTGTTGTACATAAACAGACTTCTGACAGGCACTCACTTGACTTTACGGAAAATGCGTATTAAAGAATCGCCTCACTTTTGCACAGGTCACTCAATACTGACTCTTTAGCTTTATAAAGCTTACCAACTACTGACTACAATTCAGACTTAACAAAAAACACAAGATTAACATTAAGCAGGTTTCCCTACTGATTGCTTCCTGTTAGGATATGGTTGCAAATCTTTTCGTGTAGAAGTAGGGTTCAGGTGTAATGAGCATTTGTTTATCTCTAGTTTTGTAGAAACAGAAGAATTTTTTCAAGAAACATACCATACAGACCTTACAACATATTTCTTTTCTTATAATTCTGATAAGTCAGCGTTATCAAAATCCGCTTGGATTATCACGCTTTCGAGATCAAACTATGTGAAGGCTAAATTCGCGCAATTACTGATAATTGGTACTTTTGCATCAAAGTGAAAATCTATACTTTGTACTTATTGTTTTCACTAGTATGTGTTAAACGTTGAAAAGAAGCCTTTTTCACTGGTAAAGTAATCATCATTTATTCACTTACATCTAAGACTTTATGACATCTTAGCGGAATTTTAATTCTATCCAACATCTGGAATTGTCGCCTACAATTCTTCATCAGAAATATGCTTGAAACTCATTAGTATGTCTAACAAATTTTTGCGTTTTCACTGAAGTATTTGCACTTTGATAAGTTAAATTTATTCTTTAGCACTTCAGGTTTTTTCTCACAAGTATCAATAATCACTGCTGCAATCATTTCCCTGATCCTTCACTGAAATATGTTGAAACAAAGGCTGGGTTCTGATAAAAGTAAGGTCTTGGTCTCTTCTGGTACGTAAGTGCAAGTGTTGAAATAGATCAATAGTAGCTAATAAGTGTACTTCTAATTTGACAGAAATTCTAAAAATTTGCTTCAATTTATTCTTCCATGAAGTTGGTTTATTTTCTATACTGGTATTAAATAGATTGTGTTGTAGGAGATTGTCAAGTTAACTGACTATTTGTGTGAAATCTATAAGACATATATATATATAACTGACTAATTAAAATACTTCGAGAACAATCATATCAGTTCACCTTAGCTGTTCTCTACTATCGGTAATAATCCCAACTTTTTCCAGTTGCATTTTTCATACTGTACACATTACTACTACGATTACTTTCAAAGTTTTGATTTATTTAATGACGCATTTATCCTTTATTCGTTTTATTCTAACCTCATATTGTAAGACATGTGAATATATAAGTTGATTCTGACGTTTAACAAAGAAATAAGAGATGTGAATAAAGCTTCAGTTAGTCATCCTCCTGCCTAACTATTACAGCCCATTAAGATAAGATAAGAATGAATGAAATAATAGTAATGACCCAGATAATGGTAACATTAGTGAAAAAATCCAGATGAATTCCTTACACACACACAGAAGACGAAAGCACACCCTTGCACATGATTATATTTTTCTGTTAGATAATACATAGTCTCCATTAAAAACAATACTACGAGTTCTGTGTAACTTCTTCAATGATTCTGACTAAAGTTTGTATAAAATTTTTAATCTGAAATAAAAGTAAGTTGAAATTAACACTTTTTCTAAACTCGTTCATCACTCATACATGCAAATGTGCTATAGTTTTCATTCATGATAGTAATATTCATTTTATTGTGCAACAACTGGAAAATAAACCTTGTATCAAAGAACATTTCCATACTCAGAATGATAAACATTCAACTTTGTGATTAGTGGGTGTGTACAGTCTTATTTCATAATATATATATATATATAATTCCCAATAATAATTATTCCATTTTAAACCATATAATTTGACTTGTAATTCGATATAGGACTTTGTACAGACCTAGATCTGTTGCTACTCTTTGAAAACTTACTTATCGATAACTAAATAATAATACAACGGGTGGAACTGAGTGACTAAGAGCTACCACGGTCTTCGGCATGGACTAACTCATTAAAATGTACTTCATTGTGATTAAAAAAGCCTATCTCAGAAGCTATTACAGTGCAATTTCTTCAATAAGATTAAAACTAATCTCAATGACGTCGGAAAGCCATTGGCATATTTGTTTTGTGAGCCAGATAGTATATCAATCAAAAAGTGACGCGCAAAGTGCAGGCTCGAATCATACCGAAACTCAAGTTGTCTTTGAATTCCTTTTGTCAACTTTTCGTGAGGAAAACTAAACTTAAAACTCGATTTCAATTAGTTGCTGAGGTAAAGAAAAGTAACTGACAGATAACATAGTAAAACGGAAATGTTAACAAACAGCATGTGGAGTTCAGATTGACTTTGCGATGCTCATTTTCCAAAAATGTCCTCGATCTTAGATTTGTTGAAGATATGAACTCACTGAGAGGCCAACAATACAAACTGTTTCTCATTCATTAAAAATAAACCTATTATACAAAAATACCTTTATCCAAGCGTCTGTCTCTAACTTCTTAGATGACACCAGAGTAACTTATTGCCTTAAGTTATATTTCAGTCAGTGGGGAAATTTCATTCCCTGCTTATGATTTGTGAGACGTTTTAGAGCTATATGGCAAAGTGCATTGCCACACCATCTACCGAATCGCCAAGAAATTTCACACTGTGTCATAAAATAACTTACCAGCTGACAGTAATTCGGCTTAAAATAGCCTCCACAATCTAAACTCATGTTCAAAAAGTCACAGGATTACCTTATATCTAAGGGAGAAGAATCCAAAAATATGACTTATCCTTTAAAAACCGAGGGCTCTGTAACATTTCTGGGCACAATAACTCTTTCAGGGTGGCCAATTTAGGCAAATATTGGACTGCGGATAGAAGAATTAACACCGTCTACTTATTTTGGCAGCACTATGAAGCTGAATGGTTTTCAAGGATCAGATTCACCCAAACATTGTTCTAAAATATCAGCGTTACAATAGTAATCTGGCGTGGAACTAAAAACACTTCCTACCTTTATAAAATCAATTAAATAAGTTACTTTAGAACAAATTTCACTGCTTACCGCTCTAAGTTGCTTGCAAGTCTCATTGGGTTTGGCTGTTTCACCATATTTTTGATGGGTGCGTACAAGCGCATACATGTTGGCAATAGCTCTGTAAGAAAGTCTAGTCACATGTAAATATATCTTACATAACAATGGTGCTAAGCTCATAAATACGATTCGCTGCTAAATTTCTTGTTTGTTCCCACTGAGTCTCATTGTTTCTTCCTTGTACTTGTTGGAGCTCCAAGTGATTACGAAGATCAGCTATTTCGTTAGTCATAGAAAGCTTTTCATCTTGTTTCATCTTAAACTCTATGTTATTGGAATAACAAAGATACTTTTTTGAAGTAAAATAACTCTTTATTCTTTTCATCTATGATTTTCTGGTTCTTCGCATCCGATGCTTTCAAATCCTGACGAATTGACGACTATTTCAAGTGACTTACCTCCAGGTTAGCTTTTAGGGCATCATACCGAGAAATAAGCTCATAAACGTCTGAGAACTCATCAGATATTTTCACAACTGACTCCAGGAACAGACGGTATTTCAAGAGTGATTTAACTTTCCTTTCCTGTTTCTCCCGTAATTTTGTGAAACGTGATATATCTGAGTTCAGACTGTTATTCATGATACATACACATGTTGTTTACATATCAATCTCATTCTGTTTCTGCTGCTGTAAACTCTTCTCTGTCGATATTTTCTTCATTGCTCTGACTCTCTTCTCATCATTGTCTTTAAAGAACTGGTCAAATTTGATGAGGGATTCCTTCAGTTCACATTCCTTCTTTTCAAGTTCTTCTCTTCTTCGTTGAATACACTCCATCTTAACTCGGAATTCCTTTTCACTTAAGTCAGGCATCATAAAATAACTGACCTCCTTCTTTGCAGACAGAGCACTCTGTACATTTTTTAGTTCTTTGTATTTTTCCAACAGCTTAGTAGAGTTTGTTAAGTTTCTGTCTTCATTTGCTGGCGCATTTCTTAAGAATTATTAGGTAATAATAGGGACATTTACATTAGTAGCTTCTCGTGAAAAACAGTTTTCAAATATTCTTCTATGGAAAATTCCGCATTCTTCAGAGCTTCTGCTGTTGATTGGGATTTTCTCGATTGGGATCCCATTTAAAGTTTGAATGTTTCAGTTGCTAGGCAATGACTAAAATTGAACAGTTAAAAGCAAGATGTTAGAGGCCTCAATATCTTTATGTATTTTCGTAACTATGAAGTAATAGTATTTACTCCTCGGTAGATGTCCACGTTGCCAGTTACTTCACTGCCCTGTCTTAGTTTCACGAGATCTATCATGACCTGATGGTTATCCTTCCAATATCCAATATCTTTTTACGAGCTAGTATAAACCAATTTGATTTCTTTGCGCTCGCCTCTTGATTGTAAGGTAGAGGTTCCTGATCTTTGGTAAACGTCTGTGTAGCTCGTCCCGCCACTCGACTGTCGTAGCTTTGGTTGACTCCAACAGGAGTAGTGCTGGGATTAATTATTAGGCGTCTGTAGTATGAAGTGTGTTAAGACTGTTACTACTGTGAATGGAGTTGATCCTTTCACCAGTTAGTCTTTCGGTATCGTCGTCAATGGAAAAGAGATAATAATAATAATAGATATAATTAGTAAAGGTATTCAGACTAACAGACAGAGAAAAAAAAAAAATAAGAAAACGTCACAACAGTCAGTCAACCGGTATACATATATATATAATATATACCAGTAATAATGATAATAATAATAACAATAATAATAATAAGTGTAGTTAAAGCTGTCAGGAGAGTAAGACTGAAGGGAATGTGAAGAAGTGAAACGACCAGTTTAATTGTCTATCTTTGAATGGTATATGCGATTTTAAGGGGATAGGCCATTTGGATACAGTCCTTGTGTCACTGCAAGGTTGTCCAGCCTTCGCTTAAAGGCGTCCACAGATGGTGCCATAGCTACATCTGCCGGTAAGGAATTCCAGGGACGGCAAACCCGCAGGGAAAAGAAGTGGGAGCGCACCCGGGTCCTTGCCCTCTGATGAGCTATCCTTCTGGGATTTCCACGAGGGAGCCTATACCTACTCAATGATCAGAAATCACACTGAATAGAGGCCATCACTGGCAGGATTTCACTTGTCTGTTGGTATTCCCTTTTTGGTACGATACACACCCCCTTGTCCACTTCTGAACGTTGCATTGTAGATTTCGACAAACTTATTTTGCAGAGATTATTATAGCTGAAGCTTTTGATCCAGAGTATGACAACTTATAGAAGGTACTAATCATGAATTTACTCATAGTCTTGAGAATGAACAGGTCCAAGTGAGTTTCTGGACGAGTTTCAGCATACCATATTGCCTTGTGTAATCATTATTTGAGTTTGTGACCGAAATTATTTTAGTGAATGTGCATTTTAATTTTTGTCCTACTTCCGATGCTCGGCCAAGATATTCCCGTCTGTGGTGGTTTGTCGCACTGTTTTCAAACGTATTCTAAGCAGTTCATTAGCCACAAAGCTATCCCCACCATTCTTTTGCTCTGTATCACTGGCGAAATGTAATATCAAGTGAAGTTGACGAATCTTCAGTGATGAGTGTTTGTCAGTTTTCGTGTTGAGTGAGCAGGTCCAAGGTCTGTCGTCTGTGTGGATCGTGAACAGTCTGTTTTCTGCAGTGTGCGAATGTTTTTATGGGCTAATTAGTTTACCAACAAATTTTTAGAAAAGTTTTCCATTGGTCGCCAGCCGCCGCCGACAAACTGATTTAAGGGTACATCCACAGCCTTCTCGGATGCATCTAACGTTGTTGTACAAGATGCTTCTGTATCAAGACAAGGTTCTTACATCCACCAGATCCTTTTTCATTTGTGCTGTGGCAACCGTTGTCTGATCTGATAAGTGAAAGTCCTTTGGTCTAGCGCATCAGGAAAGGGCTTGATGGGCTGGCCGCAATTAGATTTCAGATTTTGGTAAAATTTAGTCAACCCAACAAGGCCTCTGAGTTGAGCGAGCACAGTAGATGATGGGTACCTCCAGATAGATTCCACCTCGTTTTACGTTGATGTTATCCCTTCATTATCGTTGATATGGGCTAGGAACTCTTTCGCCTCTGCCCCAAGAGCTTACTTACTCCGAATAGCTGTTCTGCTTTTTTTCACTTTCCGTAACAGTAACTGAAATGGTGTCCACTTGTTTTTGTATTCAGGCTGGCGATGACTAAGTCATAAATACTCTACACATCTTTGCAGCATCTGCATCTGCACAAACTCATGCTTTTTGAACTAGGTGCTTATGATTGTTTTGGAATATCTTACTCGCTCCTCAGAACATAGCGATAGGCTCAGACTAAGTCCGTTTATGTCATGAATGTAAAGTACTGAGTGTGTATCCATGAACGTCTGCTTACTTCAGGCATTGTGATCGTCAGAAGGACTTTAGTTAGTTTTATTTTTCTTAGCTGTCATTTGCAGTGGTGCAGCCCAGTGACTACTCAATTGACACCCTATCCTCTCAACCAATTTATAAAGCCAAATTCTGCCTTCGCCACTTTTATTTTGTCACGGGCTAGCCTCCATTTCTTCGCAAAATCTAGGGGGCCTTATATTATTAGCGCATATGTAATTTTCAGACTGACCATTGATGTTTGTGTGCAAATCACGGTTAGATCTGGATGACCCTCCAGTATTTGTTTAGGTCTTTCAGTTGACACTAGTAGAGATTAGATATAGTGACCAGGCCTCCAGCCGCTAGTATACCTGGACATCTCTTCCACTGTCAATCGACTCTTCGGGCTTTTCTAAGAAGTCTGCGCCGAGAGATTATAGGTCTAGATCAGCAATCGTGAAAACTTGCGGTGAAGCGTCGGTGTTTTCTGCCAGACTGCCACGATCTGTGTTTTTAATTGTGGCGGGCTTTTGCTGTCTTGAATCGACTTTTTTCGCTATTATGCTGAGCAAAGTTTCTCTATCAACAAAGCGTTTGTCTGAGAAAGGGCCTTTCGTCTCTCCATTAATTGTGAGTTGTCTAAAGATTGAAACGTGATTGTTTGCCGAACTATCAGCGATTTCAATAAAATTGTCCTGTTGATCCGGTTTGCTTATCGGCTTCTTGTTTTCGGACGTTGTCTGTTGGGAGATTATCCTGCTTACTCCTCCAGGAGACGTATTCTTGGTAGTTCTGGAAGCATAAAAATTAAGGCACGCGATAGCAGCCTGGCATAGTAAGTTCATTAGGAAACACCAGCCAGAAAATGAGTTTACAAAATTTCTATGATTTCTTACACACTGAGTAAACAACCTTAGCCTATTGTGTACATATGTACTACGCATGTTCAGTATCTTCATACTGACATGATTCAGAGTACTATTAGTCTGGAGCATCATACTCCTCTCGGAGATGAAGCTTGAAGTCGGCATGCATGAACAAATGAACTCGATGGGAAACCATAGTTAAACCAACAAAGGTTAATCGAACCAAGATTCTTAGCAAAGTCGCTTCTAGATGGAAGCTGATGTAGAGTCTGTACAGACGTCAGAGCATGCTGTAAACACAAAGGTTGTCTGGTAAGGGGTTTGTAATCAAGGAATAGAAGCAGACGAGACAGGTGACAGAGTGGACACCACGCCTCCTTTATGATTCATGAGTTTCTGTGTGTCTGCTGAGAGGCATTCAATAGTGAACGCCCTTCCGTGAGTCCGATTAGACAATACCACCTCTCTTGCTCACCAGCACGCCTACTAAACACATGTTCGTCTACAACTATTGCCTCCTTACTTTTAGGCACTACTTACCGGTGGTCTTAAGGTTATTCGGATAGGAGAATCGGTTTCCAAAGAACCCCTTCCTCCTTGAAACATTTTATTCGGATGATTTGAGGAACTTAGGTAACTTTGATAATATGGAATTACAGGAGATCTAAGGTAAGCACCACAGGCTTCCTTGGGAACCCGTTTGATGTCTTCACTAGTGGAGCTTCTGGCAACACTTCAAGGTCGCTCTGAAACGATTATTATTTCAGGTGCAGTATCCACTTATAACTTTCCTTATAAGCATTTATTTGGGTGAGTAATACTTGCATCTCATTTAAGTTACTACAAGAGGCCAGTAGATTGCATTTCTTGAGAAATATTGAGCTTTGAAAACTTGTTTACCTAAGCTAGAGATATCTCATTACTGCTGTGTATCTGCCTTCTTCGTCGTGCTCATGCGATTGCCTCCGAATAACTTGGTGACCAGACTGCCTCTAATATCTCACAACCAATTAGGGGAGAACACAATACTTAAGTAGAGGATCCGCGAAACAGAGAATTCTATCAATCTTCAAGTGTTTCACTGTTAGCGATCAGTTTACAACAATAAAAATCAAAGGTAAAGCTACAGACAATTGGATTTTCAAGGAATAAGAGCGTGGTTACGGCGTTGTGATGTGAAATTGTATCCCAATACTCTAAAAGCATCCTTGAGCAAGTTATATGTTCTGCCTTCACTGGTTGAGGCGGCGTTAAGAGAAGAAACCGTGTATCCCTCCCTAGGTGGCAGAAACTTGCAGCACTGTATTGCACTCGCCGCACTTCCGGCACAATACCTCAACAAGTACATTAATTTCATTTCATCACTTAGTTTCAGACCCTCTAGCATGACTTCGATTTCTTTCACAAAGTGAGGAAAGTCAGCAGGATTCCCTTCAAAGCACCTAGGCTTGAACTTCGGTGGCTTCAAGCAACTTATCTCCCTGGCTGATACATCATGCTTGTCCAACATAACATCAGACATAAGATTACACACATTATACAAATCATGAAGACTTACTTTGTCGTCTGCCTCCAAAGTGCTTCGTCCTTTCCTTGGCCCAGGCATTACTGAACTTTACCAGACGATCCAGAGAAGTTCCAAATAACACTTGTCCAAAGAAGACTTGCAGACGCAACGAAAGACGAATTGCCACCAAATACAGCGAATACTTCCAAAAACTATCAGAAACTGTCAATGTCCAGGTCTAACTACCCTGAACTTAGCGCTGTTCTTAGAAGACTTTCACAAACTATTGTCAATAACCAACGCGAGAAACCAGAACACAAATTGGTGATTCAAGAATCCTATATTCTTGCGCCAATACAGAACCAACCACAAGGTTGTTG